GCCCTCTGCATCAGAAAACCATCACTATCATCAACTGCTACTCTCCACATTAGCAGTTGATGAAACGGGAATTGATGCTTTGAGATTTGGGGGAAGTCATCCGCAAAGAGAAGTCCTGTTACAAATTTGTCGTGATGGACTTCAACGCAAAGATCGGGATGTCAGAAGAAGGGGAGCATAGGATAGGGAGATTTGGATTAGGACTGAATGAGAACGTAACCGTCTTGTTGGGCTCTTATCCGCCACACGACTTTTTCATGGTAACTCGATTTTTATGATAAAAGAACACCGGCGGTGGACATGGGAGTCACTCAACGATACGACTCATGCGATCGACCGCATTGTCGCCAACCAAAGGTGATGCTTACTGGACGTCTCTGTGCTCCCTCGAGCAAAAGTTTCAACCAAAAGCTGAAAAAAAAAGATCTGTCGTGAGGAACAAGAGAATTGGTGTCAGACTGAAGGAGCTCGCGAGCACTTGCGACTGGCCCATACGACCCAACGAAGGATTACGACCTGATTCTGAGAGGACTAAGAGCCTGAGGTTAAAGTGCGTCAATGCCTTGCACAGGGAACTTGGGACGGAATTTCGAAAGCCACCAACGATCTAGAGAGGAGTGGTAAAAATCATCGAATATCCGTATCTGAATAAAGGTTTGTAATATGAATAATAAACACCGATTTATTTAGAGAGGAGGAGGGCACTGAAGCTGGATCCAACTACATCACAGCTCGAACGACTGATAGCCTATACCAGTTGCAGAACAGCTTTGCAAGAAGATCTTCGGGAGTACAGGCAATCAAAATTTTTGGAAGTAGCACAAAGAAGGAAGTCTAAAGAAGTACCGCAGAGACTTTTCCGACTACCGTATTCCGCTGACAGCACTACTAAACGAAGACATGACTTGCACGTCTTTCCGACAGATGATAGAATCGATCACGAAGCGATTCTACACCGATCTCTTTCGCTCATCAACATTCGCGCCAAACCCCGCTGAAGAAATACCACCAAACAATATACTTGCTGATGTACGCGCCGCAATCCAGACCACAGAAGACAGTCACGGCTCCGGGACCGGATCGTGTTTCGGCCGACTTCTTATGAGCTGGAGGACTTCGCCTACACAGAAACTTGCGGCACTCTACCGAACCATCCTCTTTCATAAGAAAGAAATAGGGAGGATCTTCGAAACTACCGTCCAATATGCCTGCTGAGCGTGTTTTGCAAGCTTTTTACGAAAATATTCTCACTCGCACATCAAGGACATTGGAAGCCCAAGATTTAGAACAAGCTAGATTTCGTAAAGGCAGCTGCGTGGATCACATCCTGACGCTTTGGAGGACTATCAGAGATATCAGTACCGTCTACCTCTGGTCGTAACCTTCATCGACTATGAGAAAGCGGACAGCGTCGAGACTAATACCATACAGTCAGCGCTTGTCGACCAAGAGGTGGACCTATCTTAATTCACTTGTCCGACTGCTACAAGAACTGCTCTACAACGATATAGCTATCCCACGCCCCTTCTATATACCAGTTTCGGAGGGGTTCGATAAGGCGACACCGTATCGCCATATTTACTGCCGCCTTGCAGTGGGATGAAATCACAGGACTGGAACGAGAGAGGTAAAAAATATACGAGTTGATGGGAGATTGCTCTCAAACCTTCGTTTTGCGGACGACATTGTTCTCTTCTTAAGAAATATCACTGAAGCGGAGACGATGTTGAAAGAACTAAATGGAGTAGGGAAGCGGATGGAACTGCAATTAACCGAGAGGAGACCAGTTCAAGAAGAACGCTTTTGCGAGGATCAGGAAACGGAATCAGAAGGCCTCCTATCGCGGAGACGTCTTCGTCTTCTTACGTGTGTCTTGGACGTTCGATGAACATGGAGGACAATCTGAAAGGAGAACTAAACAGTAAGCAAAGAGCAGCTTGAACCGCCTTCAGACCACTAAAGGAAGCCATAGACCAACTGGCGAAGCCAGAGCTTCGAGCCCACCTGTTCGATCCATCCGTTGTCAGCGCTCTGTTAAGCAGCATAGAAGTGGTCTGACGCTGTGGCGCCGTCGAAGGCACTCCGAACAACCCACAGAGCGCTGGAACGCCGTCTAAAGTACAGTACGTTTTCAACATCTTGTCCCGCACTAGAAGTGAGCTCCATGTCTTCGCGATCCAGTGGCTCTAAGGCGAAACATCGATGAGCTGACCATATAACGGGAAGTACAGACGATAGATGCGCACTAAGAAATGGATCTCTCGCAAACAATTCCTCGAGGAAAACCTATTCTCACGGGGAAATATCACCACGGATTCTACCTGCCGAAGTACTCGCCGCAATCCAGACCATGAAGGCAGCCACGGCTCTAGGACGGGACCGCGTTTCTCGACTTCTTACGAGCTGGAGGACATCGCCTATACGAGATACTTGCGGAACATCTAACGACTCACCTTCAAAGAAGGATCCGCGATCAGTGGAGAACCTCCCGAACAATTCTCCTTCGTAAGGAAGGTGAAAGGGAGCATCTTTGGAACTTCCTTCCAATATGCCTGCTGAGCGTGCTTTACAAACTC